GTCTCCACTAACACCCTCGGCCAGTGCCCAACTGGCCAGCCAGCCCTGCTCCTGTGAAGGGGACCTGGCTGCGGCCCAGGCCACATTGGGCAGCTCAGAGGGCCAGATCCCAGGGTGCTCTAGGTTTCCACTCTGTCTAGGGTCTCTCCCTGCTGGGCAAACCCCTGGTGTTCTTCACAGGGCAACTGTGGGGCAGCTCCAAATTTGTGCAGCATGCAGGGGCCTGAAGGGCTAGCATGCGAGGGGTGTGATGGGGAGGAGATGGGAGCCCCCACAGGCCCTGGGTGCCTGCCCTGGGCGCCATCTTAGGTGTGACAGCCCACGGTGCTCCTGGCCCTGCCCACAACCTATCTCCAGGCGGGCCTGGTGTCCAGAGAGACTGCAGAGCAACTGCTCATCGCCCTGGAGCCTGAGGCCGCCTCGGTTTACTGCCGCAAGCTGCGTCTGCACCAGCTCCTAGACCTGAGCTGCCGGGCCCCAGGCAGCGGGCGCCTGGGCGAGCGCCGCTCCATTGACTCCAGCTTCCGACAAGGTGAGCCATCTCCAGGGCCCCTGAGACCAGAGACTCAGCCTTGTCCAGCATGGAGGAGAGGCCCCCCTCCTCTGGAGCAGCCCCCGAGAGGGCAGAAATATCCTACCTGGAGTTCCGGTGGAATGCGGAGGCACAGTCCTGACCCGGGGAGCCCAATCCCAGGGCAGAGGTTTCACCTTGCCCTAGGGGAGGACCGTCTGAGGAGGGAGGACTCAGCCCAGCCCTGAGTTTGGGGTCTGGGAGATAGCCTACCCTGGGGAGGGGTGCTTGGGTACTGACCAAGGAGGAAGTCAGCCCCCCTCTGCGCCAAGGGGAGGTCTTCAGGCGCTTTCCCCTAAACAACCCCTGGATCCTCCCCTCCCCTCATGGCACATCAGCGGCTCCCCTCCACCCCCACACCAGCCCCAAGCTCCTGCTGCAGGACCAGGCACTGAGACAGCTATAGTCGGCCTTGTTCATTGTGACAGGGAGAGGCTCCAAGTCCTGGGCTCCCTGGGCCCCCCGAGACCTACCGGCACACACACGCAGCTCCTTCAAGCCCTCCCAGCCCCGATTTTCCACAGCCCGAGCCCTGGTCCTGCAGCCAGAAGTGCTTCCCCTCAGCTGTGGGTTACTGAGCAGGAGATCGTCCCATCAGGCTCCTCCAGACCCTTAGGGGTCAGCACCCCCTCTCCCACTCAGGAGTGGAGCAGGAGTTTCAGGAGCGCCGGCTGCTCCGGGTGCTCATGGAGGGCGTTGGCGGGAGGATGAGGATTGAGCGTGGTAGCTGAGACACCTCCTTCGAACCTCACTGTCCTGCTCCCCCTCCACCCCCAGCCCGAGAGCAGCTGCGAAGGTCCCGCCACAGCCGCACGTTCCTGGTGGAGTCGGGGGTCGGAGAGCTGTGGGCAGAGTTGCAAGCAGGTGGGGAGACCGGGAGATGGTGGGATATGTCTTGGGCCCTCCAGGCCCCTATATACTGATAGGAGGAAGGGAACATTCAGGAAGTTGGCTCCAGCCCCTAAAAACCCCTCCCTCCAACATCTGCTGTATCTAACCTGGCAGTCCCTTCACAGTCACCTGCACCCTCACCCCACTCACAACCATGCCCCTAACTCATGCTCCTTGCAGAGTTGCAGAGCCCTGGACCATCCCCCTCTCTGCCCCCCCCGCAACCCTCCCAACCCCCACCACACACACACACACACACACACACACACACACACACACACCTTGTGCCCCTAGTCGGTGGCCTTAGGTTCAAGAACTTGAATGAAGCCTCTCACACCTCCACATCGCCACCCCTGCAAGTAGGACTCAGGCCCTGCTTGGAGCAGGGCTGGAGGCTGGTCGGGAGGAGGCGCAGGGCTGAGGGTGCAAGGCAGGCCACAGGGTGTGCTCACGCTCGCCGCTGCAGGAGACCGCTACGTGGTGGCAGACTGCGGGGGAGGCACGGTGGACCTGACGGTGCACCAGCTGGAGCAGCCCCACGGCACCCTCAAGGAGCTCTACAAGGCGTCGGGTGAGTAGCCAGGCAGCGCCCTGGATACCCAGCCGCCAATGCCCTCTGGCCAGATGTCTGCACTGGCGCCCCCTTCATCCCCTGCCCCCCCCCCCAGGTGGCCCCTATGGCGCAGTGGGCGTGGACCTAGCCTTCGAGCAGCTGCTGGGTCGAATCTTCGGCGTGGACTTCATTGCCACCTTCAAAAGGCAACGGCCAGCAGCCTGGGTAGATCTGACCATCGCCTTCGAAGCCCGCAAACGCACGGCAGGCCCTCACCGTGCGGGGGCGCTCAACATCTCACTGCCCTTCTCCTTCATCGACTTCTACCGCAAGCAGCGAGGCCACAACGTGGAGACGGCCCTGCGCAGGAGCAGGTGGCTTGGGGGCCATGGACTCAGGCGGGGTGTGCGGATGGGGACGGCCCCTATAAGGGAGGGTGTAGGCCGCAGGGAGCAGTGGGAGTCAGCCTAAAGCACAGGTCGCACAGCTCTAGCCAGCCCTGCGGCAGGGGGCGGAGCATGAGCAGCCCAGCTAGAAGAAGCGGCCCCAACTGGAGCAAGGGCATCATGGGCCTCGAGAAAAGGCCAACGTCTATCTTCTCTCCCCTTTCCACCTCCACACACACACACACTCACGCACACACACACACACACACACCGTGCTAGGAGGCTAGGGAGGCTCCTCTCCCAGGACCTCATGCCTGGAACAGAAGCAGGCCCTGGCTGAAGCCCCTGGGAGAGTGGGGATTGGGGTAACACATAACGTGCAGTCAGTGCCCAGGCACGTAGGCCTGGGCCAACAGTGGTACCCAGGACCCTGACAGATGGGCCTGAACCCCCTTCACCTGCAGCGTGAACTTCGTGAAGTGGTCCTCACAGGGGATGCTCAGGATGTCTTGCGAGGCCATGAACGAGCTCTTCCAGCCCACAGTCAGCGGGATCATCCAGCACATAGGTGAGCGCCTGAGCTCGGGTCCTCCATTACCGCCCCCCCCCCACACACACACACACCCAGGTGCGGGAATAACTGCCCCTATTAGTGCCTGGAAACCCCACACATCCATACACTGGAATGAGACCGAGTCATCTGGAACCCTGGAGGAGTCGGTGCGTTGGGAAATAAGAGCTAGGAGGGATTGTGTGTAGTCTTGCCAAGTTAAATAACCTCTGGTGCCTCAGTTTTCCAATTTATAAAATGGGGTGATAGTATCGGGTTCCCAAAACCGTTATCACAGGGATTTAAAGGCGCTGAAGTATCTAAAGAGCTCAGTGTCTTGTGCGCAGTAGGCATTTATCAGGTGCATATCCTTCTCTCAGGGCCTCCATGTGGGGGAGGGATGTATTGTTGGGGAGGCAGAGCCCTCAGTGAAAGCGCTCCGTGTTTTTCTTCATCAAAATAGGGCAACCATTTTACAGTTGAAATGACTAGTTTCTAATTGCCGGGCAGGTGGAGAGGAGTGGCCGCGCAGTGGTAGCCTCAGCTGCTCATGCTGTCCCTCTCGTCCCCTTCCCTCCTCCTTCTCCCCCCACCTCCACCCCATCCCGCAGAGGCGCTGCTGGCGCGGCCGGAGGTGCAGGGTGTGAAGCTGCTGTTCCTGGTGGGCGGCTTCGCCGAGTCAGCTGTGCTGCAGCAGGCGGGGCAGG